GAAAACACCCAGTATATGGATTTCCAAAAAAATATTCTAAAAACTACAACATTTCAAACTGGGCGGGTTCAAAATCTATAAAAAATTAATTTTATATATATAAAAAAATAAAAATAATTAAATTAAAAAAAAAAAACTTAAGTTTAAAATTTAATGTTTTTTCCTTTATCCGTTTTTGAATTTTCTTCAAAATTCGAAAGGGGGGTGGGTGGCTCAGTGGTATCTAATCAGTTCATTGGACGCTAGAATAAAGCTTAAAGTTTAAAATTTGGTGTTTTTCTTTGTATCGATTCATGAGTTATGGTGGATACAGACACACACACAGAGACACACACAGACACACACAGAAAACGTAAAAATCCGTCGAAAACACGAGGTCGAAAAAAAATCATGATTCCTATACTTTCCTTATATCTGTATACAGATAGGAAAGTAAAAATACATAATTTGAATATACTATGTTATTCAAATTTTGTATTTTTTTCATAGGGAAATACACCTACGGTTAGGTTAGATAGATCTAAATTTAGCTAAATTTAGATCTATCTAACCTAACCGTAGGTGTATTTCCCTATGAAAAAAATACAAAATTTGAATTGCAGTCCACCGTCCGACCAAATTTTACGTCTAGTTCGTGTTTAATCTATATATACCGGGTGTTTAAATTAAAGTTTTACAATTAAATACCGGCAAAAATACGTTTTTTATAAAAAAAATCTGATATATCCAACACATGACTTTCCTATCAAGTTATTATAGGCTTTTTTCGGTTATTTTGTACAACCTATTGTAGCACCTCTATAAATGTTTAGAGAATAAACTAAATATATACATTTTCCACATACATCTAACTCGAAACATTTTTCTATAGATATTTTGTATAGAACAAAAATTTTAGATAATAATATTATAAGTAAGGTGTTATTTTTCGTACTGTTCATGAGTTATCGAGAATACAGACACACGCCACACACACATACACACACAGACATCATCGCGAAAATAGTAAAAACGGATTCAAGGGAGCCCAAAACGTAAAAAAAACATCGAAAACACGAGGTCGAAAAAAATCATGATTCTGTATACAAATAGGAAAGTAAAAATTGTTAAAATTACCAATAAGATTGAGTTGACTATGATCATTGCTAGGAAATGTTATTATACTGAGTGTTATTCTATCGATCTTTCTCCATTCTTCCCATTCTAGTAGACGACTGACCTTTAAATCCATTTTAAACAGTTGTTAATTTCTTGATAACTCCTTTCATATTTGGTGGATTCTTTCCCTTATCATCCTGTCAAAAATTACATTATTTTGGTCAATATTATTCGTGAAACTTCCCCCGTAACGCCACTGGAAATCATAATTATTATCTAATCAGTGTTAACTTAACGCCTTAACACAATAAAGAATACTTTCATGATGGTGAGTGAGGTTTATGATGGTGGGTGAGGTTTATGATGATGGTGGGTGAGGTTTGTGATGGTGGGTGAGGTTTATGATGATGGTGGGTGAGGTTTATGATGGTGGGAGAGGTTTATGATGATGGTGGGTAAGGTTTATGATGGTGAGTGAGGTTTATAATGGTGGATGAGGTTTATGATGATGGTGGGTGAGGTTTATGATGATGGTATGTGAGGTTTATGATGGTGAGTCAGAGGAAGGGATACGAGTAGTATGAAAGGCCATGTCAAGGATCCGAAATCAACCCACACATATTTCCTGCTCATCTAGCAGAAATAGACATCCCGGTAGACAATCCTTTAACCATCATCTCATAGTACAACCGCCCAGACCAAATCATCTCCACATCTCTGATCGAATACTTATATCATCACTCCCCCGCGCCGTTTTGCGTGGAGATCTGAACTCTAGACATACCATGTTCGAAGATCACGCCTCAATGATGGTAGGTGAGGTTTATGATGGTGAGTGAGGTTTATGATGATGGTTGGTAAGGTTTATGATGATGGTGGGTAAGGTTTATGATGGTGAGTGAGGTTTATAATGGTGAGTGAGGTTTATGATGATGGTGGGTGAGGTTTATGATGATGGTAGGTGAGGTTTATGATGGTGAGTGAGGTTTATGATGGTGTGTGAGGTTTATGATGATGGTGGGTAAGGTTTATGATGATGGTGGGTAAGGTTTATGATGGTGAGTGAGGTTTATAATGGTGTGTGAGGTTTATGATGATGGTGGGTGAGGTTTATGATGGTGGGTGAGGTTTTCTGGGTTTACCCCACCTGTAAGTCAAATGGCACCATCAATCAACTTTAAATCGCCCCGGAGCGCCACGGCAAATAATAATAATAGTCGTCCCTTTCCCTAAACAAGTCGTTCAGTCGACTTCAGTGGTTGGAATTCACTCGTAAAGGGGTGAATTGGGGAAAGTATTATTATTATATTCAAATTTTAATAGATGTTTGAAATATTAATAAAAATCCTATTTTTTTTTGACACCCTATATCTTAAAAACCAAACTTTTTAAGATATTTTTTTACTTGAACTTGGTTTAGGAACGCGCCCTTACACTTACGGTCTATATCATTAAGAACTACCCTGTATACATTAAATATTAGATTAAATGACATCTTTTTTTCATGTTTTGTACTTCTTAAAATTTATTATACGATTTCTTTATTGAGCTCTATATATGCGTTGAAATACAACTTATATACCGGATGTTCAAATTGAAGTGTTACAACTAAATACCGCCTATTATAAAAAAAAACGTTTCAGACGAAAGTTTTATAGTTTTGTGGGGAAAAATGTTTTGGCTAAAATCGTTTTTTATAGCTAACCAACTTTTTTTTCGCCCAGCAAAATTTTCAAGTAGCTGTTACTCAAAAAGTAAAAGTCCAATAAAAAAATATTTCCCTCAAAAGTTTCTAATTTTTCATGTACTTTAAGAATATGAAAAAAAAGATGGGGTTTAAATTAAAAAAAAAAAACAAAGCCCACACTTTAATTTGAACACCCGGTATATTACATTTTTGCCTTCTAAATATGCATGAAATTTTAGGTTTAAAACTTTAAAGACCTACAATATAATACCTATTTTCACAAAGGTAATGTCTAATACCGTTTTCGTTTCATAATTTAAGTCATACATTTTCCCCTCGTACGATGCGACTAATAGAACAAGTAAAACAAAAGTCATTTTATACTATTAAAGCTTTTATGACAGGAATAAAATACGTTTCAAGAGCCATTTTCTCCATATTTCGAAATTTTTAATTATGAATGTTTAAAAGCTTTTTACATTCGTGGAATATGTTACATCTAAAAAGGTATGGAATTAAGAAAGGATCACAAGTTGCTTTCAACGTAGTGGGATTTGGATATACATATGTATACGACAAAATTGACAAAATTAAACCGCAACCTTCCTATATTTAATTTATTTTGAAGTCTGGGTATATAAAAAAACATGTTTAGGTGTCTTTAAGGGTTTAATATTTAATGTAGTTTAATATAAAGATAAAGACCACATGTCATTCCTCTTTACTTAAATAATTTCTGTCTTCAAACAAACACTTTTTCTCCTCTACTTGAATTATCTAAAACAAAAACTTCTCCTCCTCCACTTGAATCTCTTTCTAAAAAAAAAAATTATCCTCCTCTACTTGAATCTGTCCAAAAAAAAAGTTCCCAATCAAAAACTTCCCCCTCTTGTCTTGTGTTGAACTACTGAAAGAAAAACAAATCCTCACCACGGTTATCGGGCCCTCATTTCAACCCGGGCTCCGGGAATTACTCTTGTCGGCCCTAGGAATGACATGATACCAATGTATATGGACAATTATTATTAATTTTTAATTCCAAGTTTGATTTTATTAAAATCTCAGAATATAAAGTAGTAAATATTAGATTTTCTAAAAAACTAACGTACGAACCGCAGCAGAATATTTTCTGTTAACTAGATTTTTAATTTCGTGACGTCACACCCTTCCTTAGCAACGGAAGAAGAGGCCACCGTGTTGTTTACGAACCGTGCTAAATACCGATGAACTGGAGTGTGATAGAAAGCCAATGTGCATATTGTATCAATAGAACAAGACGTGACTCTATGGGCGCAGTCATTTTTATCGCTTATCTCACTCGGAACTGTTTATAACAACCATTTTCTGTTTCACATTGTTATTGTTGTGAAATAGAAAATGGTTATTACAAATACTCCCGAGTGAGATGGAAAATAACCTGTCAGCGTCATATCGAGCCTATTGACAAGCATTCTACCCCACTCCAGTGCATTGGTGAATAAAAATGCCACGTAGCCATCTTGGATAACCATCCCGGTCAACTAACCTGGAAGTAACCATCCATTCCTTACTACTTTATGTTTTAAGATTAAAATTCTATTATATTTTCATCTATCGATAAATATACATCAAAATATCATAAAACAATTTTTATTAAATGAAATTCTGTGACGTAGCATATCCCAAGGTTGCCAACTAACACCCCTGAAAAGATTGTACAGTTTCATTGAATAGTTTTAAAATGATAAAATTTGTCTCTTTACTTATTGAATGACCCTCGTAGTACTGGTAGATTCTGATGGGTAAAATGACTTACTCCCACCTTCACTGCCATGAAAGGTTGTGTCCAAAATGATTTGATTCACCTTAATTCTGCCCATAGAAAAAAAGAAACGTATTTCTACCTTTTCAATATATCTGGAAAATGATCATAAAGTCTCAATTTTGTAGAAATCGATATGAGTCTGTTTGGTGGAAATCCGCTCCGAAATAAACTTGAAAACAATAATGAAACCTTTTATCCCGACCCCTATCTGGGATGCTGGTCACTAACCGAAAACAATATTCCCTGATAACAGAGTCGGCATATAAGTTTTCGCTTTCCCTGTTCTAAAATAAGTTTTTATTTCATAACCAGACTCTTTTATTGGCAATTAGTTTTGTTTATTAAACAGAGGAAGGTTGTGGTTTTGTCTTTTATCTTAAAAGATAGATTCATCTCGCAGTACGGGATTATTTAGTTTTTCTCATCTTTACGGGTCATGTGACCTCTGAACGATGCCTGGATCTTGACTGCAGCTTTATTCAATTCCGGATCTGTTAAATCTATGTCTAGCTCTTCTTCTTCCTGAAATAAGTAGGCAAAAATTAGATCAAATAGTAATATTTATACGGAAAGAGAATCAGGATATTATAACAAACGAGAACGTGACTAAAATAGATCAGTTATGAGTAAAACTTGTAATGAGTGTTGATTGTAGAGCATTGACAGTGGACTGTAATTATTTAGAATTCTTTATTGTAAGAATAACTATGATATGAACATAAAAAGTGATTGACAAGCGTGTTTCAAAATTATATTAATTATTTTTTAAGTGTCACTTCAAAAACTCTGGAAATCAATCGTTCTTAGACGGCATAGGCGTAGGATTACATTGTTATGGTTATTGGAATTCGTATTTCATATTTTTGTATTTAACATATAAAAGTAACTTTTCGTATTCCAATTCGAAGGCTATGGGATACGAGTAGTATAAAAGGCCATGTCAAGGATCCAAAATCAACCCATACATATTTCCTGCTCATCTAGCAGAAATAGACATCTCGGTAGACAATCCTTTAACCATCATCTCATAGTGCAACCACCCAGACCAAATCATCTCCACATCTCTGATCGAATACTTATATCATCACTCCCCCGCGCCGTTTTGCGTGGAGATCTGAATAGACATACCATGTTCGAAGATCACGCCTCAAACCCAAACGGTATCTGCCTAGCTAATCTGCTCATAGACTTATCCATATTCAGAGCCTCAAACTGACTTACGACCTTTGTATCCCATCAAGGATCATCTATTATAGACCACATCCTCTTCACAGATTCCTGTATAGGACTGGTTGCTGATAGATGCTTCATTGGAGAGACAATCACCTTCCTTTGGTGTTACATACATCTCTCCTTGCACCCACTCCAGCAAGAGGTACAATACATACCTTCCGAAATCTCAAAAAAGCAGATCGGCCACTATTTCAGGAAAACTATCTCTGCAAACATTCCGGAGCAACACTCGCTTAATTCCCCGCAAGACATCGACACAATGGTTGACAAAGGTCAAACCACCATCACCCACTCCGTCGAAACATCCGCCCCAATCACTTCCACAAACACGGCACAAAAAGCCCTTCCCAAATTCAACCTAACTCTCAACTTCAACTCCCAAAAACGACGATTGTATAGACAATATGTCCGTACCCACGACCCAGTCATCAAAACTGAATGGAACCGCCTTAGCGCCCTGATCAATACCACTTCTAGTTTGGATCATAGAGACGGTTCCAAGTTTTGGGACAAATTCCGAATCATCACGGGTCAAAAAACCAAACCACACTCCCACCTCCAAATCGACGGACAAATCCACTTAAATCCCCACGAAAAAGCCTTTATCTCACAAAGCCACCTTCAGAATCCCCGACAACCCCCATTTTGACGAACAATTCAAAAATTAGACCGAACAATACATCCTTCAGACACTCGCCGTCTCAGTCCCACCTATGGATGTCGAAAATCCCCTCACCTCCCCATTTACCCTCCAAGACATCCAATATGTTTGCCAAGCAGGCAAAAACACGGCCTCCTAGCCTGATTCCATTCATAGAAGAACGCTGAAGCATCTTCCTGAAACCATCTTTCCCATCATTACCCTTATCCTAAACTCCTGCTTTTCCCTATCCTATTTTTCTCTTGCAAACACCATTTTGTTCCCCAAACCAGGCAAAGACCCCAAATCCATAAATTCATACAGACCCATCTCTCTTATATTAGTCCTAGGGAAACTCCTCGAGCTTCTGCTCAAGGAAAGAATCTGGGAATTTTGTGAAGAAAGAAACATCATCCCTCAATCCTAAAATGGTTTCAGATCCCACCATTCCACACAGGACGCAATCTCCTTTCTTTACACTACTGCGGTCACTGCAGTAAACTCTCAACAAATCTCTTCAGCCGTTCTCTTAGATGTTCAAAAAGCCTTCGACCAAGTCTGGCATGCCGGACTAGTCAAAAAGTTTATGAACATAGGTCTCCCCCAAATTTCCAAACTCATACACTCCTACCTCATAGACAGAAAAATCTGCCCCCCTAAACATTAGATAAACCCTTCCCATTCATATAATTAGAAATTCATAATATTTGTACAATATCGTGATTTAGGTTTTATGCTTTTCCTAAAACATATTCCCCACCTTATACTTGGACTTGTCCATTTATGAGGTTGGAAATAGTAAAACTGGTGGAAATAACTCTAGGTTACTTTTGTAATCAGGGCAAACCACCCTGAAAAGGAAAATATTTGATTGCGACTATTATTTTCTTGATATAAAATTAATATCAGATAAACAGAAAACTACGCTCATTGAAATGCTCTTTTCATCAACTGATTTACATATGAGTAAGCAATCTATGTAACTATGTATATCATTGGGAGTGAGATACCAAGCGTGTTCTGTGGACATTTAAAAAAAAATTGTTTACTAACGAATTAAATTCACGTCACCGACAAGTGCTGCGTTTGAGAATCCACATCGGATGCATCTGAGATGTAAAAAATCTTTGATCACGTGATTCAGTATACGTAAATGTAATGGGACAGATGTGTCCGATGTGAATAAAAAAACGCTCGAGATGTAAAAAATGCATCCGATGTGGATTCTCAAACGCAGCAATTATGTGTTTGTATATTCACGGATGCAGCAAGTTTTTTTCGATAATGGTATTAGGAAAATAATTCGAATTTATTTAATTAAAAATAATTAATAAATGACGTATAAACCCTATCTGCATAGGTATAGTCAAGAAAGTAAAAGGGAGAAAAATTAATATTCTATTCAGTATAAAGAATCCTTTAACAATTTTTTAAAAATCAGATTTAAAACGAAAACTTTATTGTATAACAGCTACATATATTATTTTTGCAAAATACACTACATTTGTAAACTTAGCCAGAATCAAAATCATCCCAACTACAGTAGGCCCAGTAGGCCGTTTGTACCATGCTCTTATGCCATCTGTCAAATATGTATTTTTTTTGTCTTTTGTTTTGTTTAAATTGTATGCAGTCACTAAAATTTTCTCATCGTTTTGTGCATTTTTCTTTGTGAAAATCAGTGAAAAACCTTTGAAGAATAGACGCAATATTAAGAACAACGATGTTTCTCTCGATAGTAATATTTAAAAAGAAGGTAAGATTTCAGTATATTTTTGTGGTTTTTGGTTGATATTTCATTGCAGGTAGGGTGGCTTCTGTTCTATAATCTAATTTTTAATTATGATAATTATTAATTAATAGTTATAGGAACTAGATAATAGCAAATTTAAACAGATTTCCTAACCTAATATTTATATTATACCTACCTATACATTTTTTATATTAATTATTTTTTGAATATTTTGAATGTCAATCAAGGTCACCGAACTTGTGTTTGAAGTTGATATCTATTTTCTTTTTTATTAAAATTGCTTTTAAAATACCGTTTTTATATTAGTAAAACATCGTTGGTTCTAAAGTTTTATTGATGATTATACCTAATTTGTTTATTAGGTAATCACTATAGGTTCAATAGCAAATTTAGTACTACCTAACTAAATTCTTCTTCAATGGGGTTATGGAGAAATGGGCTTCTACTTCTACGTAATTTTCTTAATTTTTATATTTCAAAGATGTCGATTTCTTGAACAATAGTGTCTATCAGGCCCAACAATCCTTTGAGTAGTTTTTGATATACAGGGCGCAGAAGTTGCAAATTGCCCCCTTTTTACTTTCCTATCTGTATACGAATATAAGGAAAGTATAGGAATCATGATTTTTTTCGACCTCGAATTTTTGATGGATTTTTACGTTTTGAGGTCCCCTGAATCCGTTTTGACTATTTTCGCGATGATGTCTGTGTGTGTGTGTCTGTGTGTCACATAACTCATGAACCGACACACGGAAAAACACCAAATTTTAAACTTAAGCTTTGTTCCAGCGTCCAATGAGCTGATTAGATTTTGGGCAGAGTCGGAACATCTGGGGGGGTACTTTATAGGTGGTCATTTTTATATTTTATGGAATATATCTGTTATTTACGTTTGGGGAAGAAAATTCTTCAAATAAAAGTTACTTCTTATATTATTATCTATAATTTTTGTTTTATACAAAATTTTCCTAAAATGGTCCGTATTCGAGAAATTTGACAAAATGTAAAAACATATTTTTTTATAAAAATTGTTTAAACAAAAGTTGTTTGTAATATAATTCTCTATAATTTTTATCCCATACATAATTTCTCTAAAATAGACCGTATTCGAGATATTTGAGAAAATGTGTAAATTTAGAAATTTGAAGAAAACTCAAAAACGGATAAAGAAAAAAACATTAAATTTTAAACTTAAGTTTTATTTCGGCCTGACATAAAATGATTAGATTTTGGACAAAGTCGGAACATCTGGGGGGGTACTTTATGGGAGGCCGTTTTTATATTTTATGGAATATATCTGTTATTTATGTTTGGAGAAAAAAATTGTTCAAATAAAAGTTACTTCTAATATTATTATCTATAATTTTTGTTTTATACAAAATTTTCCTAAAATGGTCCGTATTCGAGAAATTTGACAAAATGTGCAAAATTCTGATTTTTATGAAAATTGTTGAAATAAAAGTTGTTTGCGATATCGATCTTTATAATTTTTGTTTATACATCATTTTTCTAAAATGGACCGTAATGGAAAAATTGTAGGAAAAGTGCTAAATTTATATTTTTCAGTATTTTCGTTTTCAATGAATATCTATAGAAAAATGTTTCGAGGTATATATATGTGGAAAATGTATATATTTAGTTTATCCTCCTCTAAACATTTATAGGGGTGCTGCAATAGGTTGTACAAAGTAACCAGAAAAAGCCTGTAATAACTAGATAGGAAAGTCATGTGTTGGACACATCAGATTTTTAAAAAGGTAGTGCTTCTTAAAAAGTAGGACCTTAATTTTTTATAAATAATGCTTTTTAATACTTCCAGTGAAAATCTATGACGTGAATTATCGTGATTAGTTACAGGGTGAATCACAAATTATTGAAAATTGAATTTTTCCTTTT